TTTTTTTCCGTGAGTTCACGTCAATAAAGCGTCTTCTATTGGATTATGGAAAACTTACTTGTCTCGGATGCCTCTTGACCGGGTCCTGAAATCAGAGTGGAATTTATTTTAAGCACTTCATTCACAGTTATTCCTTTACCATTCGGATCGCCACGCTCGTGCCAGGCTCTCCTCTGTCTTATGTTATAGTTGATCCGCCCCTTGCGATTTTCCAAATTCAAAAGCTCTGGTCTGATTGTGAGGGAACAGAAGCTATTGATTTCCAGCGAAACACACGCAAACACACACACCGACACACTTCGTGCGCGCTGTGCTTGCCATGAGTGAAGTCCAGTCCAAACCCTTCGTGCTCAAATCACATGGTTTACTCCCCTCCTATTCCAACCTTACTATTGATTTTAACCCAAGTTACGCCCATTTCACGCATGATCCGCTTCTTCTAAAAACCCTACGCACCGCAAACGAGATCGTGTCTATTTCTACTACCTACCATGGGCGTCTTAAACCTGCTACCTATACTCGTGTCAAATTCGAATGTCTTAGGCCTAAATTAGTAATATTCTCGTACGCCTCGCCACTTAAAGATGAAATCAGGTCGCGCCACCACCTAGCAGCATTCCCATATTACAGCCTGAACCCCTATCATGTTTGTTAGCCCCAGGTTTAACTTTACAACATTCACGCGGGCGCCCTCCCTTGTAGGCGGAGTCTGGTTCTGCCACTTACTGTAAGTGCCCGCATCTTTCCACCTGTACTCCTACAAAATTGGAACGCTCTAGAACCACGAGAACAGGAGTTATTAATTTTCGATCAAGCATTTATTTTGCACAAACCACGCCTCTTGTGGACAAGGCTGTACCTTTTACCTGCCATATCTGTTCCCATTGTGCTACCTGTACTCCTAGTAGACTTGAGCGCTTTAGGTCCACCGGAATAGGAGTTATGAATTCCCGGGGGTACAAACAAACAACTACACCGACAGACACATTTAGCCTATTATATAAGTAGGATATAGTCTTAGTTTTTTCGACGATTTCTTAGGAGCAGCAAC